GCATATCATTCATATAAAGTATAAATATTATTTTCATTTTAAATCAATTTTGGTTTGTTGAAAAAAATCCAATCATATGATTACAAATCAGCTGATTTTCAACACGAATTTGCAGCATTCTCTCTAAACTAAAAGGCAAAAAGTGCGATCTTTCGTTACTCATTTTTTTAGATTCAGTAAAAATTGTTACAGTCATATCAGCAGGGCAATTCTCTATCGTATTATAACGATTTTCGGATCGTTCTAATGACTTAACGATAATTTTAACGATTTTGCTATTCTCTAAGCACAGTATAACGATTTTCGGATCGCAAATTAGACTTAGCGATATTTTTAACGATAATCGCTATTCTCTAAAATGGTATAACGATTTTCGGATCGCAAAGAAGACTTAACGATATTTTTAACGATATTCGCTATTCTCTAAGACTAGTATAACGATTTTCGGATCGCAAAGAAGACTTTGCGATAATTCTAACGATTTTAATATTCGGTGTACTTGTTATAACGATATTCGCTCTCGCTATTGTCGTAAACTACTCGAAAAATCGCCAACTAAGCGACAAATATTTTTAAGTTGTTAGCGATATCGACAAAATTTTGTTATTTCATTTAAGAGAGTAAAGTGTCCGGGAAATTGTCAAAGTTATACAAAAATAAAAATAAAAAAATAAAAGAAATGGTTTTGAATATTTGGCATACGTTTTATCACAATATGACGAGGTATCCTAATCTTCATCATTGAATAGAAGTTTGCGTCGAGAAGCGGAAGATCCTTTTCATTTGGATGCTACCGAGTTTCGCCGGATTTAGTTGAAGAAATCGTTTCTGAACTAGATTGCCAACTAAAAGGAAGAAGAATAACAGCATTGTCTACGGAGAAACAGGTAATAATATATATTTTCAATATTTTTTTTAGTCTTAACACTATTATAATGTTTAAAGGTTCTACCCGCCTCGCGATTTTTTGCAATGGGCATGTCCATGAGTCAGTCGTCAGTAAACCGTTGTGTTCATCGCGTAACAGACGCAATCAACCGTTCAAGGTTTTCTCTTAGTTTTCCAAATTTTTGCTTCGTCATCGTCACCATATGTTGGAGGCACTATTGGAGCTATCGATTGCACATGAGTTAAAAACCATGAAGAAGCGTATATAAACCACCATGGATACCACTCCATCAATGTGCAAATGGTGAGAGTAAATTTGTTTCCGATTACTATTGTAATAACAAAGTTAATTATATTTTCACATAGATATATGGTCCTTATCGCAAGATTATACTGGCAAATGCCAAGTACCCAAGAGCGCGGCACAATTATTTTATTTGGAGCTCCCCTATAGAGCGAAGAGTCATGCATGAAAGTGCAAACCATAACATGCTATTGAAAAACTTTGTAATGCATTGCTATTCTTTTAATTAAAATAATTTCAATAACAAATTTATTTGTTTTTGTCATTCCTCTTTGTGCTTTTCGTACATTTTGACGTTTCGTTGAGCTGTGGTGCCACCTTTCCTACATTTTAATAAAATGGAAATGTGCGATGTCGATTATCGTAACAACTGCGTTAGAGAATCGCATAATCGTTAGCGCAAGCGACAAAATTCGTAACTTTGCGATCCGACAAATCGTGTCGATAAAAGTTACAGAATTGCACTGCAGGTCACCGAACAGAGCAATTGTAATTGCGCAGGGGAAGATCAAGACTTTTCTGATTTTTAGGAAAACAGTGGCCTGATGAAGCATTACTGACTCTGATTTGGACCAACACCAGCCGCGCCTTGCATAGCATGTTTAAGTACCATTTTTCGAATGCCTGTTAATGTAAGGATCACGAAACCGGCAGTTAAATCAACTTATATGAAGTAAAAGAAATAAAACGAGAACATTTTATAATTTTTCAAATATTCAAACGGCAAAGGTTAGACGAGGTCTAATATACAAATTATGTTTAATATGAAAGTCATGAATATAAAACACCCGTCTATTTTCCGTTACATTTATATATTATGGCAAAGAAAATAATGAAATTTGTAAATCAGTTGTTTTCTATTTGTAAACAGAACGCACGTCGCCTGTTAATTAACTCGAACAGGCAGTTAAGAAGACGAAAACGAGTTTAAACAGAAGTTAAATATTAAAAGGCACTCGAATAAAAACGGCCCTAAGAGAAATGTCTTTTGAAATTGCTACGTCCAACGGCACTTTTAAGTATATATCCCAACATAACAAATGAACAATAAATTAAAACTTAGTTACTTAATCAGTTCACTTTCCATCCAACATAAATCTTTTAGTTATTTTAAATATATATAATATAATGAAATAAGAGAAAGCAAACAACGTAAATAATAAATACGTGAAAATTTGCTTTGTTAGATCGTTGTAGGGAAACTACGGCACATTAATAAATATTTGCTTTATTTATCAAAATTCAATTAATTAGCTGTTAATCATATTTTAATTAAATTGGTCTACGCATTTCCGCTTTTTCTGCCCAGTATTATTTTTTCAAAGCGTGGCTAAAGGCCGCCAACTAATAGCCCAACTACCCATTTTTTCATATACGAGTTATCGACGCTGCTAAAAGCAACGAAATGTAGCAAGCTGCCAAAGTGCATGCATAATTTTAAACAAACATGGCTTATTTAAACCCTTATATGACTAAGAGATGATATCTCTTGTAAATAGAAAAAATTAAGAGATTCCTTACTGTATGTGAGAGTTTTTCACACACTCTTTCATATGGACTAATCCCATGTGAATGCAATATGTAAGTTAATCTATTGCATTAATAGATTTTGAAAAAAAAAAAACAAGTTTTGTTTTTTTCAGAGCGGTTACGCTCACTAATTTATGCTAGTAAGTCACGTTGCAAAGTAGGTGCAATTGCAGATTGTTGTTGTTGTGGGCTGAAGTCAATTCACAGGGGTAATATTTCTTAAAAATAAGAACTTCAGAAGAACATTACTTTGTGACCATAAATTTTTCAGCCATCACAACATAAACTCGGATTCTCCAATTAATATGTTAAGCATCGAAAGTAATTGTTCCAACCTGCCAGACATTGCTTTTCGAAGTTAACATTTACAGTCCTATTCTGAGGCAATAAAATTTACCTTGCTATTAAAAATTTCCATTCAGTAAATTTTGTTACTATTTCGTATTCTGAGTTCCCTGCCAATCTGTAAATTTTGTTACCCGTGAAATAGGAGATAACAAACAATCTGATTTTTGATTTTGTGTTGTTAGTTTGAGAAAAAAATAAATAAAATAAAATGTGTAGGTATATTTTACGTTTATAATTTATTCAGGTTGAAGAAAAAAGTGCAAAAAGGTGCTTGTTAAGAAGTTTGCGAGAAAGTTTTCATTTTCATTCAGTTTTTTTATGTCGTCCTGGCATATTAAGCATAATTAGGGTTAATTATTTATTACTTCATAAACAAATAAATAAAAGTTATATATTTTGTTGAGCTCCGTCTTTCATTTCGACTGGCAAATGTAATTTGACATGGGGGAAAAACAGTTCTGCCAGAGCTTTTCAACCAATATAGCCTGTGCACTAGAATACTTGATTCGATTTCAAACGTTAACAAAAAGTAATAAAATTTGCTTTACCGGTAACAGTGAGAATAAGCCTGTTAGTGCATAACTTATACCACAAATCTTTGGTGTTGGCAAACAATTACAAAAACTTAAACTACAAATGAGTGGGAACGCATACGATATACGACTGTGTGCGTAGTAATAGCAGTGGCTAATGGAAATTTATGTAATGATTTTCTAAGGTTTAAATAAAACAAGTAATTTAAATTTGTCCTTGCCAGAATGTAGGCCCAAATACTACTACCTTGTATTTAAATTAATTTCTGATGTAGTTACCTCATTCATGAAAACCCCTTACTTTTTGTGCTACGCGGTACCATTTTACTGTGATTTACAATAGAAGTTCCAGTAAATTAGCCGTGTTGTAGAAGTATTTATAAATATTAGAATATATTTCTATTCAAAAATGGGCCGCGCCAAGCAATGTACTGTTGAAAAACGAGAACCAATTAAAAAAAAATTATCGAAAGGGAAACCTTAAAAGTTTATTACAGATTTGCTTGGGTATTCAGCCATACTGATTACTAATGCAAAAAAGTTGACACCAACTGGTGAAAGAATAGGACGAAAGAAGCTCTTTCTCTGACAGAATTCAGAAAAGCTTTAGCTTTGGAGCGAGAAAAGTCATTTTATACCTAAAGAAAGGAGATATGAGCTAAATCTAGCTTGGACTCGTCCACATTTAGAAAAAAGTCGATAGCAGCCAAACTTATTGCCAGGTGTCCAATACGAGTGCCATTACTTCAACACCGACATGTGCACCCCAGAATTAAATTTGCCTAAGAACACAAGCATTGACCAGTCCAGAAATTCCATTATATTTTAAAAGGTCTTAGGAATGCTTTGGAACACCGCCACATATGAGTTTGAGTTTCAACTCAATTTCCTCCGAGTTGGTAAAGCCATTTTAGAAGGAGTTCGACCACCAACCAAGCGCGAACACCTCAGCATCGCGATGTCGGTGCCACAAGATTTTATTTTAGAATTTCTTTTTTATATGTTGCAACACCAAAATTCACAGTAATGACACTATGTACAAAATAATATGGTAAAAATTCAATTTTTTTGCTATTTGAAATGTAAATATCTCGAAAACTATAGGTCTCCGGTAGGTTTGGTTTTCGGTTTCTAAGAGAGGGTGGAGCCCTCTACCACCCCTTATATTTTTTTCCCCAAAGCTTGGAACCATAAAGGAAAAGTTTCCCCTCAAAATAAATAAAATAACAATTATAATTTTCTTCGCTCATCAGCTCGCAGAACAAAGTAATTATTACTGCACTGCTATGCTAAGAATAGATTTAATGAAAAAACATTTATTGTTTATTTCAATGCTTTAGTAACGTAGATTTTGAGAAAATCATATCCTGCTGTTTCTTCTGAATTGATTGACTTACACGTACACTTATTTTCTTATTCAACGGCCAGATATGTGGTTAGCCGTTTTGAAATTATTGTCCAAGCAAACCCGATTTGCAAACAATTTCTAAAAGGAGTTGCCGATAATAAAAACCAGTTCGATATATTTGGACTTTACTTTGTATACCTTGGCCTGCACGAAACAATTTTGCGACTAAGGCTGCAACTACCCAACGAGCGTACCAGCCGTCCATAAGTGGCGACGAAAAAGCGAGATAAACACACGAGTTATCGACGCTGCTGAGAGCGGAGAAATGTTGCCAGCTGCCTGTGTGTTTGCACACTTTTGAACAAATTCATATTTTTTGTCAACAAATTTCATAATTTATTTGCTTGAACATAAACACAAGGCAAATATACATAATCTATATGGTAACAAATAAGTAGTTACGCATTTAGTTTTCATTTCTTTTGAACAAAACTACGCATTATCTTCGATTATTTAATGTTACTTTAAGAAAGGCTATACTGGCAACCTTGTATAGCAACAAAAAATGGGCCGAGCCGGTTTTACGGAAAAAATCAAAACTTCGTTGGTTTCTGCGGAAAAACCGTCACTAACGGCTGGGAAAGCGGTGACAACTTTGTGTTTACATGGAACTCTCATAAGATAGGTTACTATGGACGGCTGGTACGTGTGTGGGGAAGTTGCAGCCTAAGCCTACTCGCGATAATTTTGTGGCGTAAAATTACTTATACGTATTGTTGCGAAAATGCGAAGCGAGTGTCAGATGAATAAGAGAAGCCGATAACTAGTACATTCTAGAACGATAAAACGTGAACCTTCGATAACGAACAACTCGATTATTCTACACTTTCGTCCACGAGCAGCCGCTATAAGGGCGACACTCAGCTGCCAAGTCAAGTTAGTTACAAAGTGAAATCGTTGGCGACAACATCAGTGTAGAGTCGAAAAGTAAACGCGTTGGAGATTACATTTAAGTAAAGTGGTTTGTGAAAGTTTTATACATTATCATTTAGCCATTGGAGAAACATCGAGTGAGCATCTTGAAAGGGTGAAGATACAAAGATTCATCAGCGGAATAATAGACGTGTACACCAATCGAGAAACATATGCGAATCCAAAGCTGACATTCGCTGAAACTGTTGCGTATGCACAAACACGTGAAACGGCGGCACTCATAAACAGACCATCATACAAAGTCAATAAAGTGGAGGTTGAAACACCAGATGTGATGATGGAAATATTGAGAACTCTGAAGTCCCTAGAAGAGATGAATAGTTCTGGTCTCAGGACTCAAGCGGAAAAATGTTTTAAATTTGGAAACCCTGGTCACTAAGCAATATTGAAAACGGCGACTGGTGGGGATAGCCAAGTGGTGGGGGAAGTAACGTGTGAGGTTACAGTAGGTAATGTGACGGTGCTACACAGCTTTAACGTCGCGCAAATTGTAGATGAGGTAATAATAGGAGTGGACTTCTTGACGGATCAAGGTATCAAGATCGACTTGAATAACAACATTACGGAATATAAGAACATGGAAGTACCACTAAGCATTGGCTATAATTCCACGTACAGCAGCAAGCAAGTGATCTTAGAAGGAAGCGAGCTGATTCCACCAAAGTCAGAAGCAGTTGTGTGGGCAAAAATTAATGGAGATTGTGGGACAAGCAAATTGTGGTTTGTCGAAGCAACACAAGATTGTACACCGGACATACTTATTGGTAAAACCCTGGCTAAGACGGAAATGAATGGACGCAATCATCAATGACTCATCGAAAAATGACCTTAAGAGCGGGTATTGGCAAGTGGAATGAGTGAAGAAGTTATAGAGAAGACAGCCTTTAGTGTTGGCAACGGTCTATGGCAACTTACCGTAATGCCATTTGGGTTATGCAACGCTCCTCCCACGTTTGAAAGACTAATGGACCATGTGCTCAAAGGATTACACTGGAAGACTTGTTTGGTATATCTAGACGACATAATCGTATTGGGGAAAAGCTTCAATGAACATTTGCGTAATTTAGAAGAAGTGTTCCAGAGAGTAGCTGGCGCTGGTCTTAAACTGAGTCCTAAGAAGTGCTCTTTGTTCAAGAAGGAAGTGAATTACTTAAGTCACCAAGTAACCACGAAGGGCGTTTGTACTGCGAAGGAAAAAATAGAAGCAGTGAAGGATTGGCCTGGAAAAGGACAATGCGGAGGGGGTTGATGAATTACCGAGCTATTCACATCCGGAGGGAAAAACTGATAGCGTGCCTGCATTAGCAAACTAGACCTTATTAATGCGACTTTAGACCCCGTAAGTTAACAGTTGACTAGATATTCACCAGGCGGCAAATCTTAGAAAAGATCCGTAAAAAGAGTATCGACACACAGCCACCTCTTCGTCGATTTTAAAATAGTTTCCGAAAAGAAGCACGAAAAGCTATGTCGGAATTCGGTATCCCTGCAAAACTTATACGGCTATGTAAACTGACGTTAAGCAACACTAAAAGCTCCGTCAGGATCAGGAAGAACCTCTCAGACCTGTTCGGTAACAAACAAGGCTTCGGAAAACGCTATTCCTTATCATGTGACTTCTTTAATTTGTTGCTGGAGAAAACGATTCCCGTCCTCTTTATATGGTATTGAGTCATGGAAAATGACAACATCTGATGATGCTAGGTTGAGAGATTTCGAAAGAATGGTAGTTTTTTTTATGTTCCTCAGTAAATTGGGAACGTCGAATACCGCAGTCGATGGAAAAATGAGCTTTATAAGATAGACGTCGGCATTGACATAGTTCAGCGAATCAAAAAAAAACAGCGGCTGCGCTAGGTAGGTCATGTGGTCCGGATAGTTAAGAGTGCTCCCGCCTTAAGAACAAGAATAGGAAGATCTCCACTACGTTGGAAAGACCATGTAGGGATGGGCTTGGTAGTTCTTCGTATTTCCAATTGACACAATGCAGCGAAAAAACGGGAAGGATAGCACAATGATAGTAGCTAGGCTATAATCGCGTTGTCTACGCTAGAAAGAAGAACAAAAACAATCTCTTTATCAAACTTGTTACATCCATTCATCTCGAATTGAGTCGTAGACAAACTTTCAAAATACTTTATATGGCATATAAATAATTTCAAAGGAGGTGCCAACTTTGTTGAATTAAATATTTTATATCCTTAGTTTTTTCAGAAAATTTTTCGGTTGTTTCTAACGTCTTTTTATGAGTTATATTGAAGAAATTCTGAAAATATTGGTTAGTAGTCGTATCATCTTCCAAGAGCTAAAGAGTGAACACAAACCAATGTTAAGCCACATTCATCCACCAAAAGTAATAGATTTCATTTTCCGTAGCCAATATTTTTATGTAGGGTTGCCATGGAAAAATTTAAGTTAAATAATAGCTACATTTTATTCAACTTTGAATGAATATCCCTAATTAAACAAGCCCTCGAGTATGATTCTGACATTAAATTAAAGCTCCTCATAAAAATCAATCGGCGGCTACAAAGTGGCATTTGTATAACTAAACTCTTTCTAAAACTGCTGCTCTCTTAGAAATTAAAAAAAAAGTCCAATAGTTTGATAAATATTCAAAATAAAGCCCGCACCCTAAGAATGGTTCATAAAAATAGTTCTAATCAAGAAATACATACACAAATATTGCTGTAATTCTGTAACCAATCTCATAATAATGGCTACACTTATGAAGAAAATGTGATTGTTAAAAACATTGTACCCCGCTGACCGTTGAGAGCATTACTTAAAAAAGAGTTGAGATTCATACATAGATATAAATAGTTACATTGCTGGTAATCAAAATATCATTTGCACACAATACATGTTTCAATAATTGTTTATCAAAACAATATATAAACGCCTTAAAGATCAAGAAAGCTATCGCCATATAGAAAAAAATGCTGTTGTATGTAAGCATGTATATGCCTGTAGTACGCACATAGGAATAAATACTTAAGCAACACGTTCCGAATACGTTTTGGTGATAAGGAACTCATTTAAGCTGGGTTCAATAACATGACTTCCAAGTACAACATGAATATAAACCATTCAAGATTTTATTTCATGTACTTACTTTATGTAATCCGCACTTAAAGTGAATAAGTACTACATAGTAAACAGTTAACTCTAAGCTAAATTGATTAATTTGTTTTAAAATTTAATCCATACTTTGGAGAACATATCTTTTTAATCAAGTTTATTTAAGGTGTCATCCAAGTCATACCACAACGAAAATATCAAAAGAATCGATGTTGTACAATGTGTACATAATGTCTGTAATCATAATTCATTTAAGTATTTTGCATATATCAAAAAGGGCTCAGTTGTATTGAGGCTCAAAAGCATATATAATACGAGTATATACACAATGTACATTTATGAAACACAAATAATTATTTTTTCTTATCTGTAAACTTTAGCATATGTACATAAGTATATTTGGCATACCCTGCAGACAACATACTTGAATCCATTTCAATTTAGTGAAATCGCGACTATTATCTCATTCCTATTCTTATTCAACCTTTATATATTTTACAATACTTGTTATTTAATCATTAAGTTTCAATTAGTTGTTTTTATGTATTTGTACCACAGTATTAATTACCTATAATTTTATTTTTTAAAAACAATAATTAAGTATACATATATTATACAGTTAAATGTTGCCAACGTTCTTAAAACGAAATAAACAAAACTTAATTAATGCCTAGCTTTTCAATACATTTGGTAAATTTAATATATGATATTACACTTTTAAATAAAATATATATTATTTTTTATATTATTTTATATATAATATAAAAATAAGGTACAATTTTACAAAATTCTGTACTTAGCGTTTACTGCTGTCAGATTACTCAGAATCTGAGATTTTGAACTGTCAAGAAGGCATTTGTTTTGTTTGCACAAAATATTGATTTTGCGGCATACGAAATCATTAGGAAAATGGGAGCTGCTTCCAGGTGGCTTGATATGTTGCAGTGATTCTTAAACTGGACTTTCGAAAAAGTGTGCATATGTATGTTTTGTTGTTACTAAGTTAAAAAATGTAACACGTATAATTAACATATTGTTGGTTATATTTAATATATATTCAATTCAAAAATATAAACTATTTGTATTTTATTAGTGTGATGTAAATTAGGTAGAATTTGTGTATGTTGAGCTCATCTTACTAGAGTCTTCTTATGGTCCTATAAATAAATGCTCGAGATGCCTAAAAATCTTCTAACCAAATCTTGATCTCTAGAAGAAAGCGTTGTGATGAATCTGCATATCTGCAGATGTGGTTTTAATTACAATTATGTAGCCAATAGTCATTTATTAATTGACTGCAACTTAAAAGTTTCTATAGCCAAGTGATCATAATTGGAAAAGTACTAAGATAATAATTCATTAATAATGTAGGACAAGGCAACTTAGGATACAAGTAAAAATGAATAGCTCAGACGATATCCAAGAAGAAAGGATTCATGACTATTACCTAAAATTTTTGAAACTTCTTTTACAACATATATGTACCTAATTTTAAGCTGAAGATTTCCAGTACAAAGTTTACTGGACTGCAGGCAATGACACTACGTCTAAATTTTTTTCATCATTTTATTAATTTTGTTATAGAAATATGTATTTATATGTACATATTCATTTTAAAACAATACTTATTATCGGAGCAATCCAAATTCCTGGCAGGGTATGAGCATGTTAACATGCATGTATATTCGTATCAATATTGCAGATATTTTTGTATGTAAGTTTGTACTTTTTCCATTAATATATTTTTCGTATGCTCCTATACAAATGAATATATACATATGTACATATATATAAATAAACCTATGATCTGCTCTCTGCTTGGTTTATACTCTTCTTATTCTCATTAATGTGCCACTGAATAATCTTTAGTCAGTTGTCATTCGAACCTTATCAAATACTAAATTTGAATTAAAAAACGTCGGACTAACTGTTTAATTGTTTTTACTTAAATATATAATGTATATTCTATTGAATATATTTGGAAAAATAAAATAAAATAAATAATACCCAACAAAACAGTCGAACTTAATATCCTAGTAGTTGAAAAATGTTGTTGCTGTTAAAAGAGAAGTTCGATAATTTAATTTTGTAAAACGAATATTATTAAAAAATACCTTAATTTTCAAGTACTCAAGTGACTTAATATGTAAGTATTTAAAAGTATTTAATGTTAATGCTGAATCGACCTAACATATTAAATACTCATCTTGCAAAAAGTTCAATAAAGTAATGTTTGTTTTCGACAAACCCATGTGTACTTCGAAAAAAGTTAAATATGATTGACCAAACATTTTTCGAAATATGTTAATACTATATAACTTAATACTATATAACTTAATACTATAAAACTAAGAACGTAAATAATATCCTTAATAATAAGAGTGCACTTTATGATTTAAAAACATCAATTTACTGAACAATCAGATCATGTAATTAATATTTTACGAGAAATCATGTATGGAGCAAGTTGACATGGTATAAGCCCTTTTCCGTTAGACAATAAGAAGTCGAACGGTTGTAAAAATGGTGCTTCAATTAATCGGTTTCGAGTGCTCGCGTGAGGATCTTCAAAATAATTGATGTCAGTATTCCCTCTGGCAATAAAGGTCTCGATAACACTCATACTTCGAAACGTATATTTAAGGAGTTCACAACAACGTCGTATTTCGCAATATTTGCTGAGTGGAAATATACGAGTATATAAATATCAGTCTCGTATAAGTGTATAAGTGATTAAATGAAATTTTGGGAAGTATGCATAGTGTGTGATTTGTATTGTACATACATATTTCTTAAATTTATATTGTAATGCTACCTGAAAAAACTGCCTCGGAGTTATATATTTAGGTATATTCGCTAGAATCAAAAAATTGGGACAAACCATTAATCCTCTTTCTATTGATTGCAGGAATCTTAAAAGTATTGCAAAATTACATCAAGTATTATCAGCTAAAAATGGTTTACTTGCATTAACTCGGGAGTTATCCTATTCTGAATCCAAATATGAATGAAATAAAATTTCTTTCTTTAAACTTCTTCTTCCTTACTGGCATAGACACTGCTTTCTCTATCTAGTCTTTCGACGGTTTTGATATCCCTTCCCCAGTATCCACCTGCGATCACTGCACTCATCCGAACAGCATGGTTCTTGATATCAATGTCGCTCATACAGCTCAGCGTTGTATCGGCTGCAGTATTTACCGTTTCCAATTCCTAGAGGACCCTAAATCTTACCTAAAAACCTTTCTTTCGAAAACTCCTAACCCCGACTCATCAGATGTTGCCATCGTCCATGTCTTCGCACCATATATCAGGACGGAAATAATGAGTGGGAGAGGATTTCTTTTTAATTCCCTACTCAATCCAAAAAAGCACCTGTTGTTAAAAGTGATTCTGCATTGGAATTCCAGCCATTGGTTTTGGTGTTAATACTGGTTCTAAGAGCTTATCTACGACTCCAAATTTCCGAGTGTAAACAAAAGCATGTAAGCCGAGTCACGAATGCGATGGCTGTTGGTTTGATGACGGTGGATACAATTAGACCTCACTTTGCGTCGGGGATACGTTAGAAAGTAATACGACCCAAAGTAAGTTAAGATTTTCTATAGCATAACATGTAAAAATCGAAGATAGGTTCCACGGTTTCGAAAATACTACTTTTTTTAACGAAAATTGAAAAATGTAAATTATACAGAAAATAATAACATTTGATTTTATTACATATTATACTTATGTATGGAAAACAAAAAGAAACTACTTCAAGAAAAATAAAATGAAATATTCAATTATGAAAAATAAAATTAGAATTAATCACTCTCTTATGGGTGTTTAGTGTCCGTTGTAGTAGATCGGATTTATTTAAAAAAAAAAAACATATAACAGCATATTTGGGTGATATTCTTAGCTACTACCTGGGACACTTTAATACTCCTCCCGCCGTTAGGATCGTCTTTGAAAAAATGTCTATACCTTTCTCTATCAAAGACATCGCTTTGGAAGTTTGGTTGAAGGTTAAATTCTGTTCTTTGGAGATTTCTCTTAAACGGTAAGAGTCAGTCAACTTCTTCATTAGAATTCGCAATTCTAGTTGCAATAGTTCTTCTCCTAGTTCTAAATTAGACTTTCTAGCTAAGTTAGATAAGGTGCAATCAGGTTATTGACGATGGGCTGTAGACTCACAGTCACAATAAGTGATGTTAAGGAAGCTTACCGCAAGGTAATTGGTTCAGACTTTGGTATCAATTTTTTTATGGATAGGACAGAGCACACATAAGTTCCAATCGTCGGGCAAAGAAGCTGATGCATGCTTCTTTGCAGTTCTTCACCGCAGTATTTCGGAAACTCAGTCGGCCCGAGCCGCTTTATTGTTTGTCGATTGCTATTCGAACTTCTTCATAGCAAGGCTAAGAAACATTTGTTCGAACGCCATCGATTGGCGAATCGGGTTCGCATTCACAAATGCTTACACTTTCACTGCCATTCAGCAGGCGGGGGAAGTGTTCCCTAAATTAATTCAGTATACTCTGGGCATCAGCTACTAGATCACTTCTTTTTGTCCTACAAGAATCTGCTTGAAATCTTCTAAGTCGCCGTATCTTCTTGTAGAATTTTCGAGCTTAAGCCTTGCCGCCTAACTTTTAAAGCTATTCATACTCACACATCTCGGCCTCCTTATTTTGTCTGCACATGCGCCTTACTTCCCTATTCTATCCTGCACTTGTATTTGTCGATTGGTTTCAGTCTGATATCTCTCGTTTGTTACACGGTTGTCGCAGTCGAACCGGCTGTTGTTTTGACCTTTCTGATAGTTTTGTTTGTGGCTGTACGTAGGGAGCTTGAAATTCCGACCCACAGTTCCTTTATACCGAGTTGCTGATGATGCAGGCGTGTACATACAAAACTAATAGTGAAAAAATATATCAGGAAGCTTAACAATCCCAGCATGAAATACCGGCCCAAGGATTATGCTTGCAAATAGTAAAAGTTAACTTTACTTACTTATGATATTCAAGATCCCAAGAAGGAAAAATGGTTTACTTACTTACAGAAAAAAAAACAACAAGGTTTCTATTTGATACCGAGGACTGGAGTTAGCTTTTTTTAGACCCGATTTCAATGTTAGAAAAACCAAAATCTGTTAATAAATTTGATGTTTCAACTGAAACATTGTTTTTTATATCAATTAATTATAAATATATTTAACTTAGTCGAAATTAACATTGGATATCTAGAAAATGACAAATCACATAAAATTTTAAAATCTTTCAAAACCAGGTTGAAGTTTCAATGGCACATTGGGAAAATTTTGGGGTAGTGACCTCTTCAACTTTTTTTTCATTAAAAATTTAATTTTCGAAAAAAATTAAGCTACGAAGAAAGAAGAAATATGTGGCCAGAAGAGCAAATATCAATATTTCCCTTACTTTACTATTAGAGGAGACTTATTATTTTAAAAGCTGAGCTACTGTCACCAAACAGTATTCTCGGGAAAAACTATAGTTAACAATCTAAATCTTTCATTAGGTGTGTGACATAAACTAGTATCCAGCTAATTTCTAACAATTCGGCTGCTAAGGACAGATAGAAAGTTTTAGCATATCCAATTATAGATTTTCTTCAATTTCAAATATTTCATATATACGATCATCATTTAAAGGTGTTTTATTTCTTTTCTTCTTTACTAGACTTCATAACATTATACACCCTTTAAAAATATATTTCGTATATATTTTTTAAATATCATACAACAGCTTGGCTGTCTAGTAATGCCATACTTTTCAAATTAATTATATATTATCTAGTTTATGACATATTTTATAAGGCTGCCTATCAAGCTTTTCATCCAATTTGTATGTATGTCGCTCACTATGCACAATAATGATTCAAAATTAAAGAAGAGTAACGGTGCGTTGTTTAGTGCATCTGCCAAACAGAGAAGCAAAAGAATTTTCGAAACAAGTAAAACAGCCAAAAAGTAAACACTTTAAATTTACACATTCCTTCTTCGCCTATTTTTGTTATAATCATTACAATTTAAAATACATGCAAATAATTTAACTCCGATAAGCACTGTTTAGCTGTTAAAAGATCAAAAAATTATATTCGTTGGAGTAGACTTACTCAGTTTACGCTACAACCATCCGTTGATTTTTCTCACGATTATAGCTATTTGCACTCTATTTCAGATCCTTCTCATATTCCCAAAAACTTCTCATGTTTCAAAATTCTATTTGTAATATCTACTAGCTTTTGCATGACTTGTTTTTACATATGTAAATTCATTAATTGTTTTTCTAGCCGTGGGGAACAAAGAACGAATTTCCTGATCTTGCTTCCAGTGGGATATTGACTTAATCCTTTTTATTTAAAGTATATAATATAATTAATTAATTATTATTTATATGTTTGATTAAATACTTACATTTAATTTTTTAAAGTTTTTTTATTTCAAATAATTGGTAGTATCATATATGTATGTACAAGTGTACAATTTCATCAAAATGTAAAAATTTATTTAAATTAAATACTAATACAAATACAACTAACATATAATTAAATAAATTATCTTTTAAAATTCATTTTAACTAATTAGAGTTGAGTAAATAACCGAAAAAAAATATATTTACATTGAACATTTCTATTTGGTACATACAAATATATAATATAATATATACATGTACGAGTATATGCATACAATTAGTATGATTTTGTCATATATACAAAAGTGGCGAGGAGGTTTAACATTTTCGCAATAAGTTTTATGCGGCTTGGGAATGTAAAATCTTATAATGCTGGGATATTATCTTTGTTACCAAACCGAATTGGAGATCTTGCTTTTTAACCAACTATTGCTTGAATATTAAATTATGGAAGATGAAATTATATTTTTTATTTAGAATCAATGAAAAATATAATTTAAATACAAATTATAAAGTGTTGATTACAATAGCAGCTATAACTAAGCTATAGCTGCACCTACTCAAGTTTCTGCTTTTTATCATTCATCTACCTTGTAATTATTATTGCTTTATCAACTTTAAGACAGTTTGATTTAATAATAAGCATTTCATCTACAGGATTTTATAAATGGTTTTTTTTTTATTAATATATGCTTTATTATATATAAGTGCTGGTGGTATTATTCATAACATAAATAACTCTCAAGATATTCTTTTAATGAGAGGTTTAAAAATATATTTACCATAACGTCAGGTTGTAAATTTATTTAGCTTTTGGTGGGATGCCTTTTTTAGCAGGATTTTATTCTAAGGATTTCAATTTAGAAGTTGTTTGTTTAAGTTACATTAATAAATTTTCTTTTTTCAGAATTTTTTTCAACAGTTTGTTATTCTTTTCGTTTAATTTATTATTCAATAACTGGTAAATTAAATTGTGAATCTTTAAATTTATTAAGTATAAGAGATTTATTATTTATAAGAACTATTGGTGGAAGAAGGTGTGGTTGATTAATTTTTCCTACTCCTTATATAGTTCGTTTACTTTTTTATTTATTAACTTTATATGTATTTGACAAAACATTTTGAATCTTTACACTTTCCGAAAGGAACTCACCACGAAATGTTCGTAAATTGAATTTGACTAACGCCGATATAACAAAAATCGCACGACAACAATAATTTAGCAGCAGAGCAAAACTATATGTATATACTCAAAATAAGCAAAATTTGTTTTTGGGGTGCACCCGGGGTGTGGTCCAACCACTCCCACTTGGTTACAATAAATAAACAAACTGATACTTATGGTTTTCGGTCGGGTGAGCATGCCGACGTCGGTGCTCCTCCAGCACCCCCACTGAAACATTCCTTTTCAATTAAAAATCACGAAATATTTTCACTGAACATTTACTGGCCTCAAAATCTAACCCAAAGCCCCGACTGGTCTTACTCTATTTATTTAGGTTCAAACGCACGAATGCATAAAAAAGCTGCGCGCCGGCCTGCAGAATTCTCAGGCGAGTGTGCATTGGTGCCAATCATTTTGGTTGTATAGCGTACGTCACCATGGCTACCTAAGTACACCCCGCGTACAATCCGTTTCCCTAATATTTGTTAGTGTAGGAACCGTTGTTGTACGAACACCTCCTCTTGGAGGCTTATACCACTGGGTAGGCACACACCGAATATAATCGTGCCAACAATGCATGGCTTTTAATTACACAAATATTTGCCGACAAATGTCACATTCAACGCTTTAAGTAAAAGTAAAAGACATAAAGGAAATATATAAACAAACGCAAAAGAGTTTTTTTGGTGCGTCCAGAGCGGAACAATGCATGTATTAGGAGGGGCGGCTGATTACACATAATTGCGGGCCTCATTATTGGTATGAATAATATAACGTATTTTTATTAGGAAGAAAATGTTCAGAAATTCGAAAAAATAATACTGGCTGATCGAAGAATTAAATTGTGGCAGATAACAGAACGATTACAGATTAGCTGGAGAGATTTCGTATGAACATTTGATTGTTTACGTCGATCGATAAGCAGCGATGATTGGAGAGTTGTAAAGATTTTTTTAAAGTTTTGCCAAGATAATTTGCATGAAATTCACAACCGCATTATAACAGTTGATTAAACTTAGTTTAGTCAGTATGGTCTCGACTTCAAAGAGGACTCGATCTATGCACTGGAAAAAATTCAAAGTGGAAAAGTTAGCGCATAAGATTATGACTAACATTAATTGATTAATTGATTTCTTGCCGAAGGGAGCTACAATGAATGGACAGTATTAGCTAATAATTTGAATCAGGCGAGTAAAGCAGTCGTTCAGGACAGACGCGGCAAGTTAGTGCGCGGAGTCCGATCACACCGCTCAAGTTGCGAGGAATTCCTAAAAATATACTGGATTTACTTGTTATATAGGCGCAACAAGTTTTATGAAAAAAATCCTGTGGTATTGCTTTACAAGCCTCTAAAATTGTCGTTTTGAGCTTGGAGCAATATTTGAAAACGTCCTTTTTGTTACACTTTTCGACCGATTTCATGCCATAAGTGATCAATAAGATTAAGATCTGGAGGTTGAGCAGGTGTATCCAAAAAAGCAGAAGCTTACTTCATGTAATTTTTCGGTTAGTTGTGTGAAGTGCACTTTGTATGTTGGGAGTTAATTCTCTAAGCTTTGCGCTGTGGATTAATTTGTTACTATTTTTAAGTACCCAAAATTAAAAGACAGAAAGTTTTCTTTAAAATAAATATATATCAAATTTAAGAATTTTATATGTTTGGATAATGTCAACATCGGCATTACATTCATGTGAGTCACTGTATGCATTTGTTAGCAGAAACGTTACTTTCGTTCTAGCGTCGGGAACGCAATCCACCATTCTCTTATTCGCTCAATCTCTTAGCTATCGACATTGAAAATATCCTTTCTGCTCTATTTGTTATTATTTGGTTAACACAATCCTAAGAACAATTGTCATCCTTTTGTCGTATAATCTGTTACATAAAGTGTTGCAAACATTACCCAATTGTTACAATAAAATTTGTTGATTCGGTATTTGTTTCGAAAATTTGTTGATTTCGGTAAAACAAATTTCTTGGTTATTTTGCATCATAGGAAAGATTATTATTATGGGGACCAATATTGGCGTTTTTTTAATTTTACAAATAATCTTTAACGCATCCTGTAATGCTGTCACATATACAGTATGTCAACCATTTGATCACATATCCAAATACAGACGAAGAAAAATAAACTGTAAATTTGGAGAAAAGCTCGTGAACATTTGACTAGCCGCATTGTTCCACTTTGAAGTTTGGAGAGGATAATATAATGATGTGGGGATGTATGAGACTGGGAGGGTGGGGGTCGGAAAGTGTGTAAGGGTTACCGGAAGAATGAATGCCAACTAATATGTTGATAGCATTCAACAAAGAAGGGTGGGGCAGTAATGTGCCCGACGTCATTTTCCAGCAAGATATTGACTTCTTGTGCTTCCAAAGCTTGGCGGCAAAACAACAGCCTTGAAGTCTATTTTTTGTATTTTTGGTTTGATATAAATCATCTGAAAAAGCCTTATTGAAATGCATCAAAATACAATAATATGCTCACACATATGAACATATATTTTTCATAAATGCTCATTTTGGTGTTTGCTGATACTTCTATATTCACCCAACTTCTTAAAATGAAGCATTAATTCCTGCTACTGACGAATTATTTTCATGAAATCCTATGAACTCTGCCATCGCATAACTCATAAAGCTCATCGTTCCGTCGTCTGAGGTATTCGCGTTTCTGCATCATATAGTAGGATGGGGACAACGCCGCTTGAACAACAACAACAACAACGGATATGATGAGCGACTTGTATGGTTTGGTTTTAGTTCGCCGAGAGAGCACTATACTTTTCAATTGCTTGCTTAGCCCAAAGTAGCACCCGTTGGCAAAAGTGATTCTGCGTTGGAATTCTAGGCTGATATTTTTAATTGGTGTTAATGCTGGTCCCTAAATAGACGAAAAAATCACACGATAAAGAGTCATCTTGTCTGAAATATCGTTGGTACCGAACGGTTCGTAGAGGTCCTTCCCAATTCTGATTACGTTTCTAGTGTAGTTCCGGGTCAGTTTACACAGTCGGTTAAGTTTTGCAGGGATGGAGACAGCTCCTTACTATGCTGTCGAAGTCAGCTTTAAAATCAATGAAGGTCTTTTCGAAAATTTGGCGCATGATGAACAGATGGTTAGTGCCTGAATTTTGAAAATTATCAATTATTTTTTTAAAGATATACATACATATATGTATGTATACTAACTCTTTTTATATACTGTTGAAGCGTTTTTTGCCCGAGCTCCTTCTCCAACATGTGCGTTTTGATATTTTTTTTTCAAAGCCGCCTGATTGATTTTAATGAGGAACATTTATTTCGGAAGCACACTTGAGGGGTTGACATTTCCTGCTCCCATTATTTGAATAATGATGATGGTCGGGCCAGGACTGGAACTCAGTGTCAGTGTGGACTGCCCTGAACACGAGATCGACCACGCAATATAGCGGGTACATTTGCCTCTTACAGTACAGATTTAGACATCAGCTTGTATAAATTACATTGAAAAAGGAGAAGGAAATTACTTATTTATTTGATGCAGAAATGACACGCGGAGGAATCAATTTACTGAAATTAAGAAAATATAGAAGATGATTATTATAAACAAATAGTTAAAGTATATATGTACGAGTATGTGAGAAGCCTTGTGAACTATAAATTTACGTAGTTGCATTTTCAAACTATTAAACCCATTTCAAAGGGTTTGACAGTTATTTGCATAACAGCAACCCATTCGAAATGGATACCATTCAAAGAAAGTAAAAACCTTTTTAAGCATAGCATCGCCCCAGCTTTATTAAAGTAAAAATAAGTAATTAAGTAAAGTTAGAGCACTTAAGCAAGTCGACGACATACTTATGCATGTTATGGCGTGGATCGCATGTTTTTGTCATAACCACTTGGACATTTTCGCGTATACTTTCTCAATGTTGTGTTTTACACTGATATTTTTAAGTGTGCAAAATATTTTCATATTGCCTCACAGCTTTTAGTGAAGACACATTTATGGAAAAGGATCAGAAGTCTGAAATTTGAAGTCACTCCTTTGCTTATAGACGCGACACCGGGCAGATATGAATTAGGGTGATGTGCCAATCAGTAGAAATTTTAAATTTTGACATCCAGCAATGAAATTCGGACATTTTTAATGGTGAGTACAAATGCCCTTCTTATCAAAAGGAGAGATGAAGGAGGAACTCTATTCGGCGGGAAAAATTTCAGCTGCAATGAAGGATGGAAGTACGTAAAAATAAACATTAGTTATTTTTTAGGTCTGAAGGCAATTGATACTTACAAAGAAGTGGCGACAACATTCTCTGCTGGTAAAACTAGAATGTGCTGCAAGTCGCAGTCGAACCAGTTATTACGAAAGGACTAAAGTTTCTTCCACAACAAAACAGGTATGTAAAATATATATACATATATATATATATATATATATATACAGTTTTACAGCAGGATAAGGCACAGGAGAAGAGGCGGCGGCGAAGGAGGCCAAGGATTGGGAGTATTTGGATGTGATGCATCAATATGGATCACAAAAAGATAGAAACTACATCAGCCTTCGGAAAATGTGCATCGCGTTTCTGCACACAGCAGAAGACAAACAGCTCTGAACGACTCCATAAATTGAAGAAATATATTATTTGAGCAAATGGTCTAGACGGACTATCCACATTTAAATGTAGTTAATTTATTTGTTTAGTTTGACTCTGATTCAGATTAATAAAATTATTTTTATAATAAATTGATAATGTTTTTTTTATTTATTTTAGATGATATAAAAAGTTTTATTTAATTTTTATAGCATCAAATATATTATTTAATTAATATAATAGACAGGGATAGTTAATTTTGCAGATACGGTTGGAAATTCTTCGTTCCCTTTCCCTTTCCAGCGGTATCAAAAAGTTCATTTTAATTATCTAGGTTCGTAAAATTAAACACGTCTTCCGTTAAAGTTACTGAAGTTTCAAAATCTTCCAGCATTAAGCAAATGCATATGCTCTAAAGAAGTTTTTTATGCTATTTTTAGTAGTTAACTTTAGATCTGTAATACATCTCCATTCATTTTTTAAATTGCAAAAACTTTGTTCTACAACAATTCGACCTCTGCTTTGTGAAGTACTGAACTTAGCTTGATCTGGAGTTATGACGTGTTTGCAGGAACTAGTAGCTTTTGTCACCGAGAAGAGCACGAGTGCCGTGCACAGATCCAGTAAAGTCCACAAACCGTAAATTTTGACTCACTATCTACCACTGCTTATACAAGTGCCTTCTATGACACAATGAATTTGATGAAAGCTTTGCCATTTGTTTTCGAGAATTTACGCACTAATTCTACCATACCGACATGCGATCCAATATGAAAAGAAAATTACTTCTCATTCGCGCGACCATCTGTGATGTTTTGTGGAAATTAATTTAACAGTTTTTGTGAACGTGCTGAAATAGATGCTTAAATTCTTCTATAAAATACTAATTTAAATAAAAAAATTAAGTTAATTTTTCTTATTGCGGTCGCCCCTTAGCAGGAGATGTCATCAACCGTTCGGAGGCGGTTTAATAAATATAAACTGTAGGCCCTTTTTTTTCGTTGGAGAAATATCAAGACGGAAACCCACAAATTCGAGGAGGAGCTCGTCCGAAAATCGCTTCATTGACTACAAAGCTCCAATTAAATATAAAACTCATTACTCATTAATTGAATGCATTTCTTCTGGTTCCACCAATATCGTCGTTAGTAAAGAAAATTATTTTCTTTGAACTATATTATATTATATATATATATATGTATGCAAGTTTAGTTTAGTTTCTTTACGTCTAAATTTACTATTTTATTTGGCACAACAAAGGCTGTCTGCCAATCGGGTGAGTATTGTAAATTTTGACAGCCAAAATTTAAATTCTGACATTTTTCGTGGTGAGTACAAACGTCAGAATTTTACCTGGCCCAAGGGGCTATGAAAAGCATAACAACATAACAATAAAAACAAGAAATGAATGCAACCACTTACCATCCAAAATTAAAAGAAAATAACTTCGCTCCTATTCGCTTGACCATTCGCGCTGTTTTGTGGGAATTAATTGGACAATTTATGTGGACGTGCTGGTAGAAATTCCGAATTTTCCTTTTATCACCGCACATAATTGACACAAGTATTACCTAGCTTATAACGCGTTGCCTAAAACTCGGAATTAATAAGAAATCATTAATGGAATTCATAGCTTCTGCTTAATTGATGGAAACATTAGTAAAGAAAAGTATTTGTGCGCAAAAAATATATGTGAGTTCCTCAACATAATATAATTTAATTTTTTAACTTTTTAGCAAACAATAAAAAATCTGAAATGAAGTTTGCTTTTTTCAAGGATAAAAAACTTTAAGTTCATTTGTCTTCTAAGATTTTTATTCAAATATAGGAATATAATTCTATAAAAGTAACATCTTTTGCTAAGACAGCGTGTGGGGGAGGGACAACTGTTTTCTGAGTAGTGAGGCGTTGGCTCCACTTGCGCGATTATAGCCGAATCAATTATAGAGCGTCAATCATCTTTTCTTTTCAATGTTTGGCGCCAGTTGAAAATACCATCAGATGATGATATCCTCCACGCTTCTGCCCCATATAGTAGGACGGGTGTGATGAGCGGAATGAGGAATTTTCTTTTCAATTGCCTGCGCGGTCTAAAGTAGCACCTGTTGGCAAGAGTGATTCTGCGTTGGATTTCAAGGATGACCAGTGACATGGGAGCCGGGTCGCGAGTGCGATGGCTGTTTGTTTGATGATAGGAGATATTTCCTCTTGCCTCATTCACTACCAGACCCATTTACTTCGCTTCTTTATCAAGTGTAGAGAAAGCAGAACTCACGGCGCGGTTGTTGAGGCCAATAATGTTAATAACATCCGTGTACGCCAGCAACTGTACACTCTTATAGAAGATTGTACCTTCCCTATTCGTATTATTATCTCCAGCATCGAATTAAAGAAGTCACACGATAAGGAGTCACCTTGTCAGAAACCTCCTTTAGGTATCGAACGGCTCGGAGAGGTTCTTTCCGATTCTGATGGAGGTTTCATATTGCTTAAGGTCAGTTTACACAGCTCCTGCTCTTTCCTTTTCTGACCTTTTCTCCTGCTCTTACCTTTTCTGACATTTTAGCTTACAGTTTTTTTTACGAGTTAAAAACGATCCATTGCTTTCTTTCATTTCAGGGGAAAAGCCGATAAAGAAACCAATTACAATGAAAATATCCGCGATGAGCAAGCAACTAAAGATTCTATGCCTTTTCCTGATGGTAATGTAAATGGTATAAGTGGGAGAAGTCCTACAAAAGTGCTTAGACACTGCAACAAAGAAAATGTAACCCAAAATCAAGATATATTGAATGCGGTTTTTGAATTAAGTAGTACAAAGGAAAATGACGAGGCGAAAGAATTCGGAACGTTATTACGTAAGTTACAATTCTGTTTAAATTTTTATGAAAACTTATTTAGTATAATAGACTTAAAAAATATCCGGAGTTAAAATTCTTTATAGCTTTTAAATTTTACTAAACGTTGCTAGAAAAAAAATCCTCGTACAAATAACAAACAAATTTCTGTTCTGTAGGAAATTCCCGGTTTTCGTAGCGGCGGTACGTAGGGAGTTTGAAATGCTGTTCCACATATATCGAGATGCTCAAGAGTGACCTTACAAAGAAGTTGCGCAAATCGCTTAGAAACCGTTTGGCGGTTTTTTGTAATTTCAGCTCTTTGAGGTAGTACCTTCCTTGCGTTTGTTGACCGATGGTCTGCTCAATGTGTATCTTCGCTGCGATAAGATAGTTTCGAAGTCGATGTCAAGCCCTCGAAACGTACGCGCATCTAGAAGAGATATCTCTTTGTCAGTCGCATCATGATTAGTCATTATAAGAGAGTGTCTTCTATTCAAGGCATACTTTTATTTTATAATCTTTTAAATTGATGGATCCCAAACCATACGCGAAAGCTCCGTGGATTCGCCTTCTCACTTTAGCTTGCCTCCAAGTAGATGTTCCTCATTTGCTTGAGCTTGGCTTTATAATCCTTGTATATAATTACGCCAAAGAATGTTGATTTCGTCAACACCATTTACAGATGGCGAGTGTAAAATTCTTCTTCTTTACTGGCATATACACATCTTATGCGGTTATAGGCCAATTAACAACATTACACCTTTTATTTCTTCTTTCCGCTAATTAGCGCCAGTAGAAGCACAGCCATGTTCTTCTTTACCTGCTCTTTCCAACCGGTGCCGCTGTTTTTTGATTCGCTGAACTATGTTGAAGTCGCCGTATATCTCGTACAGCTCATCGCTCCCTCGGTTGCAGTGTTCACCGTTCCCAACTCGTAAAGGAAAAAAAATCTTACACAAAATCTCCTTACGTCGACTCATAAGATATAGCGGGTACAGCTGTAGAAGGCTGTTTTAAAAGCGGCGATCCTCTTTTCACGGATTTTTTCCAAGACTTGGCAAATTGTGCGCTTTATGCTGATAGGATCTGATATATTTTATTAAGTAGACTTACGCTACAATAATTGGCGCAGACTCTGTCTCGCCTCTTTTATGAATTGGTCATGCACCTTATCACCTTGTTGTTTTTCAAGCGGGCGAATGCTATTCGAACTTCTTCATAGTCGGGCAATGAAACATTTGTTCGCCATCCATTACGAAGTCAAGTTCACCATTTCCTGGAGTTACACTTTCACTGCCATTCAGCTTCTGGACATCAATGACTAGACCCTTCTTTTGGCCCTTCAAGGGTATAGTCGCGTGTTGACAAGTTAGTGATGTGAGGAATAAAACACGTGCACGTCGCTTCAGAACAACTGAGAACATTGTTGCTGTAGCCCAAAGTCTTGAGGAAGACTCATGTTTGTCCATTCAAGCCGGCCGATCATCGATAACGTCGTGTCTTTGCTGATTGGGCCCATTAAATGCATGAAAATGATGTGGAGTTTCATCGAAAAAACATCGGCGGACTACTTCCTCCTTGATGACTATGTCGGCCATCTTCTTTTTGGTAATATTACCAGAGGTTCCAGGCCACTGCACCGAGATATCAAACTTCGTCAATGCTTCCTTTAGCTTCTCCTCTGGTCCTTTGCATTGCTGTGAAATATTTACTTCTACCAGGGTTCAGCGTACCTGGTGTTGCTCAAAGTAGCGTTTTTATTTCATATATATTTACTTTTCATCGAAGAATGTCTGGCTAAAAACAAGTAAAAAAAAAAAATAAGCAAAAGAGTAAACACCCACATATATGTCTAACTAGACTAAATGTACCGAATATCCCCAAGCAAATAATGTAAATATGGCATTTTTAATGCCCTGTGCAACTAATATTGAGAAAATACAGATGTTTCAGTCCAACTCCAAATTAATCTTCAAACGAACAAAACAATATGCAAAATATACTTTTTTACACTTTTTTGTTTGAGTATTAATATACCTAATTAATTTCAATTGAGTTATAATTTCCTGATTTTGACATGAAAATGAATGAGTTTAAAACTGTGAAAAGAGCAGCAATTCCAAGCATAGAAAGAGTCCCCCTGTTTTCCGTCGTTTCAATGGGTGCAAACCCGCGCGTTTTTACGGATTCTGGGTGGACTCTCATCTACCCTGATACAAAAACTCTTCTGCATAGTCTCTCTCCCCAAATTACCTACATAAATTCGAGGTATTCTATTCCAACTGCGAGTATAACAGCCGTGGTCAAAGTCCTAAGTTTTCTTACTAGATTACTTTCTACCTTGAACACAACTTATGAAGTACATTTGCCTACTTAAGCGCTCCTTTTATTTAAAAAAATTTAAATCCTAATTTATTATTATATTTTTAATACAATAATTATATATGTGGGCACGAGTATAATATAAATTTATATATATTTTTTTTATTTATGTATGTTTGTACTGACTACCATTATTTTTCCTTTATAGTGTTGGGAGTAATGTTGCTACTTTTTATAATAAGTATTACTGGGTTTTTTATAATGTGGTTTACGGAATTTTATAATGACACAATGCTTTCGGTAATTATGTTTGCCTATATGTTTGAATACAACTAACCAAAAATGATTTACTTTCAGCAATTAGTACTAAAAAATAATTCTGAAATCGCGAAAAACTGGATGGACCCAAATCCTAAATATGACACACTACTGAAAGTGCATATATTTAATTACACTAACATAGACAAATATCTCAATGGTATCGATGAGAAACTCAAAGTTGAGGATGTCGGTCCTCTTACGTATAAAGAGCATACAACAAAAGTTAACGTGGTCTTTAATAATAACTTCACCGTTACATTCAGGGTAAGTTTTTTTGTGCAAAACTAAAATAATATACGGTAGGACATTATGCATAGTTTTATATTATTAAATTTAAAGTGAGCTTCTTCACATAACACGAAACATTTATATTCTTTTTACGTTTAATAAAAACTCGAAGTTTTTGTTGTTTTTACATTATGAAAATTTATTGGAAACTTGTTTTGAAGTTTTAAGCTAAGGTAATAAATAACCTTATTTTTTAACGATTATATTAAAAATACCCAATTAGTCAAATCAAACTACGCCGTGTTCCCGGTATGTGTAAATTTATCATATTATATCAACTTTTTCCTGACGTTAGTGGAAGAACCTTAATGCGATAAAGTTCTAATGTCCTCCACATAAAAAATTTTTGTACATGTAAACTGCTTCTTATTACATACTTATTTAATATTGTACATTTTAAGGACCACAGATCATACAAATTTTTACCCGAGAAATCAAGTTGTGGAGAATTCGAGAAATTCGTCCTTCCGAACGTACCCCTAATAAGCGCCTCTACTAAAATCGAAAAAATTAACTTTATTAAGAAGCTTTTGGCGGTAACTACTATAAACGCGCTTAATGAAAAACCATTTAGGTCTCTAACGGCGCAAGAATTTTTATGGGGATATCGTGATAGAATTGTATCAATGGATATTGGCACGGGTTCTACTCATTTCGGTTTACTAATGAATGTAAGTATTTTCACACCTATTACTTCGATGTATATGAAAAATATCTTCGGAAAAAGTTAATTTAAAGTATGGCACTATATATATAAATGGCGCTTTGTAACCCCTGAAGCGATTTTCGGCAGAGCTCCTCCTCCAATTTAAAATAAAGTGAATTGCCTTCTTGGTAAATAACTTCTAATAGTACCATAAAGGTGGCCGCGGTAGCCGAGTTTTTAGCAATGCGTACTACCATTTGGAAGGCCCGGATTCATATCCTGGTACGACCACGAAATAAAAAAATAATGCAATCAGAGTTATTTGGATGATTTTTTTTTTTCAAATCATAAAAAAAAAAAAAAATATGGTGAAATTCAGGAGGATTGTTGACAGCTACAAGCACTGATCATAACTTCTTTTTTTATAACGGCAAAGAAAAAAAAACAAAAATATGGTGATCATCGGTTTTTAATTATTTAAGGTTCAAATTGCATTTAAAAAATATAAACTGCATCTTCTCCACCATAGAAAAATTCATGATTATTATTATCTTCGCTTGAATTGTCATCATCGCCTTCATCATCATCATCATTAACTTCATTATTATTTCCACTCTCCATCACGATCATCTCTAAGGATTCCTCCGGTAAATCCTTCACATCTTTTTGTGGTAATTTTCTTCTGGTAAAATCTGTTAAATATGTCTTCATTTGTTTTTTTCTGCAGCATTTACGATAGAAAAATTTAGAGAACAGTCTTATAGTAAAACTTTGATTCGAGTTTCATGAGCATCTTCTGATGATTGTCCGATTGGTAACAGAGCGTACCAGAGATATCATCTTTGTGGAGTGTTGGAGGCATGTTATACTAAGGATAACTTTCAACGAAACATTTAAAGCGTAGTCACGAAACTTCTGTACGTAAATATCGTGCCCACTAGAAACAACAAAGAGTATTGTATGCATTATTTCAATCCAATTTATGTCAACTTTAGTAATTGCTGCTGACATCCCGGGATTTTGAAAGAAACGGCTGAAAGTTTTCAAAGTCATGTTTCGGTTGGTCCACAATCAGACCAATTTTATCTTTAAATTCTTTTTGAGTGCGGGCTTTATTTTCCAAAAATAATAGTTTATCGCTTACCACGATTTTATGCACAATTTATACGATAGGTGGAGCAGCCTTTTAAAGAACATAATTGGCATGTACGTAACGAAAACTAAATTGTAAATTTTCTGTTTTTACATCAATGTCATCAATTTTATTAAAACCTGATGAGCTAGCTCCTCAAAAATGACATTTTTGTGTAGATGTTTTTTTTTGTTAATGCGTTCCATACTTTTTCATAAACCATAGATAAAATTAAATTGTCTTTAATATTCAAATATTTATTTCCATAAGGTAGATCTGAAATAAATAGATATTGTATTTCTGTACAAACTCTTTCGTTTATTTTGCAGATGCTGTATATTTGACCAGATAGTCGCATAGAGAAACGCATATACTGGGAAAGTACGCAATATTGGCGCAACTTTTTTTTACAAAAAGAAACTACAATAGCCATAGATTGTATGAATGAAAACTCCATAATTTATAATAAGTTTTCGCGAAAAAAAAAATCAAAATACTTAGAGACATGTAACAAAGAAATGAAACCAGTATGAATTTACTAAATTACCTGAACAAAAAGGCTCCATTACAATTTTTGCTTGATTTTCCCAGTCAAAAAAAAAAAAAAAAAAAAAAAAAATGACTTCGAAAATTAGAAAAAAGTAACGTATTTTACTGTGCACTTAATAAGAAATAAACTTCCACTTGGTTAGATAGTGATGGAAGATTTTATCTACTTTCGTTTGGTACCAAAAATTTACCAGTACCTTGAAATTTGATTTTTGAATTAATCTCCGAAATCGACATATTTTACAATATTGTGCAGCGGTTACTATGCGTCAATTATATTATTTAATACGTAACTACTTTCTACCATAAGCAATTTCGTATCTTTAATCCGCCTTTTCTATGTTCAACAGCAAAAAGATTCAAATTCGGCAACCATTAGCAACACACACACACTTATTTTTTCATTGACGGTTCAAATGTAAAGCAAGGTTTTCAGTTTCCAAATTGGGTTTAGGTCATCAATCTTTTCCTTTTCAGCTTTCTGATTTGTTTTCTTTTAATTCTTCCCTCCTATTTTCAAACTTCCTCTTTCCAGCTAAATCACTTTTGTTGTCTAATTTAAATACCTTCATATATAATTTGACTTTTGTTCTGTTGATAGTAGACTCGCCAAACGACACATTTAACATTTCAAATGTCCTTGTGCATTTGATTTAATTTTTTACCCGAAACCTTTTATTTGATCCATTTTTTCGAAAAGTAACAAATCGAAGAGCACACTAAAGCTCGACTAGCGTTTTTAACTGTCAAAAACAAACTGACAATCGGAAATGGCTGATATTGCCAACATATCTAACAGACATGTGTACCAACATAACAGAAAAAACGCGAAAATCGAACATACACAACTCACGAAATTTGAAAATAACGGATAATTTATGATCACAGCTCGTATATAATGCACACACGTACATATGAATATATAAGTGAAAGTGTAGTACACGTATGTAGATTCGGTGAAACATTTGCAATTAAACTCATAATGATAACTTAGGCTGCAACTACCCAACGCGCGTACCAGCCGTCCATAGTAACCTATCTTATGAGAGCGCCATGTAAACACAAAGTTGTCACCGATTTACCATAGCGTTGCTGACGTTTGTGTCGCAGAAACCAACGAAGTTTTGATTTTTCCGTAAAACCGGCTCGGCTCATTTTTCGTTGCTATACAAGGTTGCCAGTATAGCCTTTCTTAAAGTAACATTAAATAATCGAAGATAATGCGTAGTTTTGTTCAAAAGAAATGAAAACTAAATGCGTAACTAATTATTTGTTACTATATAGATCATGTATATTTGCCTTGTGTTTATGTTAAAGCAAATAAATTATGAAATTCGTTGACGAAAATTATGAATTTGTTCAAAAGTGTGCAAACACACAGGCAGCTGGCAACATTTCGCCGCTCTCAGCGGCGTCGATAGCTCGTGTGTTTATCTCGCCTCGACGTCGCCACTTATGGACGGCTGGTGAGTAAAATGGGTAGTTGCAGCCTTACAATAGCTTCAGCAATGTCGATGGTGACTGAAATGTATTACTTCGACTGCAATTGAAGGTACAACTATTCACACAGCATTACACAAAACAAAACAAAATGTATCATCGACGAAGTGAGCATTATTAGTGAGGAATTGCTTGGGCATATCGATGCGGGCTTAATGAAAATTACTGCCGACTTCGCGACCAATTTCGGAGGTTTAGGTGTAATTTTATTTGGAGATTTGCGTCAGTTACCACCAGTTCGAGTTACATCTATCTATCTATCTATCTAACAAGTCACGAAGCAGTCTATCAACCAATACAATAACATATGGCACTCATGGCACACAATAGCACTCAGCTAAGAAGCATTTCCAATCAGTATTGTGTATTGCATTATTACTTATAAAAAATTCAGGAGGATTATTGACAGCTATAAGCACTGATGATAACTTCCTTTTTTATCACGGCAAAAGAGCATCAAATTCGACTATAAATTTGCAAGATGAATTTAGAAGATTATCAACCATAAATTTATGCTTATATAAAATTAATTGCCAATCGAGATGTATAAGTTCTCACGGATGCTGTCTTATTCAACTCAAACGGCATTCTTTTAATGGAGATTTGGTTAAATAATAATGACTTTAATAGCGTCTTTTAATACAAACGACAGAAGACACGTGCAGGAGATGTGGCAATTTATCATAACCAATTAATAAAATTCATATACATACTCGTACATCGACAGTAACACCAGTTGATGGGGTTTGTCTCTCTTAGTGTAAAACCTTCAGTGAACAAATAATTATTGCCGCAGTCATTTACATTTTTACAAACCAAAATATTGATGATATTATATATTTCATACACCGTTCGTATACAGTCGAAAAGGTACTACTTCTCATGGCAAGGAGAAGATAAACTACCTATGATCCTTTGCGATGATTTCAACACAAACTTTCAATCTGACGATTCACGACCATTGGTTGACTTTCGTCTCGAAACTTTCATTTTGCGAATGAGTAGCCATACGAATATCTCAACAACGAAATCGGGAATAACGATATATGCTCTATTTTGGAGTTATTTTGACAATATCGACTCGCGAACATACACGTAATATTTTAGTTACCATTAGCCAATTGTATCTACTATATAAATTGATGAACCTGACGAATGCAAATGAAGAAATAAATTAAAAATAAATGCTTAATTAATATAATGCTAAAAGGTTAATTAATATATTATTTATATACACGATGTAGCTACTTACGATGCTCTTTTCCTACTATCATTTAAATTCGTCAGTGAATTAAAACTTCTTCTCCATCTCCCTCTCACTTTTTAAGCTTCACTTCTGTTCTGTGTACTGTACTGTACATGTTTGTTTAGTTTTAGTTTAATATAATTTAGTACAGTGGAACATATTTTAATTTCTTGCTATGGTAATTTGCCTTAGTTGTAAACGAGTGTCAGTTATTTGTTATTTGAAATATACTTAAGTATCACTGCAAGTTAGTTCCCTGGTTTCACTCTCAAACTTATATGCATGAAATATAATATAATATTTGTCAAACCTAAAATCTAATTCCATTGAGTTTTATAGAAAAAATACGATATATTACTCCGGTATGTTTTTATTTCGCTATTGAGCTCTCGACTGTGGGGGCTTTTGCATTATGCATATGCTTCAATCCTGGCTGGATGAGAAGAAGAATATTAATTTAAACAAAAAAACTAATTCTTCTGACCTTCTGGTGGCCCTCGGTAGGGAATGTCAGTCCATTCGAGTGTATCACTAATATTAAATAAAAACTTACAAAAATCCCGTAGCGGCGTAAATTATAGGTTGACTCATTTTGGAGGTGCCCAGCTGGAGGGCGAGATCATTTTATAAATGCTTCAGTGGCAATGAAGCGCTAATTATATTCCAGAGAATCTTTTTAGGCGGACACTCACCGCCAGACAAGTATTGTCCACTTAAGTGTGGGTAGATATTTTAGAATTAAAAATTTATATTTGAGACTGCCAATTTATAATTTAAATAAAAAATGTTTATATTTTATTGCGTCCGATGAAAAGAGATTCGCGTTCACTCTGTTGGGGTTTTTTCGATTATACCGAATAATTGTCCGCATCCGTTCAAAGGAAAGTCCTCTTAATAGGGTCCCCTTTATTCTGAAATCGCACATAAAGCTTAGTGCATAAAAAAAAACAAGAACTCATGAGAGAGGTATTCGATTCTATATATATTAAAGGTAGTCGGGGCTACAATTTTCAAAAAAAGCGTGGACAACTGTTTTGTTGTCTGAGTGGGCTGCTCGAGACTAAATTAATCCTTCAAACATATTCGCTGCTTTTGAAAAACTGAATCGTTCATCATTCTGTTTTTGCGACTTTTCGTAGCCGAACAATCTGTGCTGTGGCTCTGACGATGATAATATTGGAGTTCCGGATGGTAACTGAAATAAAGATTTCGATGATGCTACTCTAATGATTTTTGTTGCAGCTGCAGGGACGAAGAAGTCACTGTTCATCCCTAATAACTAGGCGACATCCATTCATTTGATTATTCTTCGAGCTAGACTTCACTAATTGGTTTACGTCGGTATCATAATAGACCTATTGGCATAAGTATGCAAGTGTCAGCTGACACGTTACTTTATGTACCTCTCCAATCCATCACTGAACTTTTATCCATATGCTTTGTCTTCTTGGGTTTCAACCAGTAATAAAATACAAACGATGTACTTTTCTCGAAAACTTCTTCAGTTTTCTCCTTATATAATTAATATATAATGTATAGTTCATAACCTTGCAGAGTTTGGGGCTACCATGGATGTCAGCATATCAATACTACAGTCTTAAAAGCTTAAGATGTTTTTGGCTTTGTCAAGAGATGGTCCAAAGAATTTATATATTTTATGTAACTAAAGTATTTTATACGACTTTAGTGAGGCCAATACCAGACTCTTAATATGTGGATATTGTATTGATGTTTTTCCAATAAGAGGTTCTGAAGGTTCCTAGTTCATTCTGATATGCCTCTGACTCTGAGGGATTTTTATGAAAAGCATTTATTTCATTTCAGAAAAACACTCAGAGGTATTAACATTCCATGCCAAGGGAGATCTCAATTATTAATCGAATGCAGGGCCCTTCGCATAGTACTACATACTGCCAACCAAACCGCCATTACGGCCGCCACTTTCGTCAGTCGTCGAAATGAATTTTTTGATGGACAAATTTGTAGTTTCTCTCCCTTGGTTCAGGTAAACTTCAAAGATTTGACCTTACTTTGGCAATGGTATAACGGCCGCTCAATAAACAGAGCAGCAATCTAATGACTTTGGATTTTTAGCTAATAATTAATCAAAAAGGACGACAGTTATGTATGTATCTTGAATACCAAAAATAGATTCGATTTTATCTCACCAAGCCTACCAACTCCCGTCTAACAACATCCTGAACTGACGGGCTAAAAAAATATATATTAGTATTATTATTTATTTATTATTATTTTTATTTTGAAATAATATAAAATATTACAGTAACGTATTTAGCGCACTATCTGCAAAGGCGTAAAATATACGTAAGCAGTCATTGGTATACTAACAAGTAACTAACTAACGGTATACTAACAAAAGCAGCGACTATAGCAACAACAAAGCAGAAAGTGCAGCTAAGAATCGGGAAAATAGTAACTAAGAGCGAAATAGAGTTGCTTGTTATAAGATGCCAGAAGAAAGGAAAAACTATAAAAAGTCTTCCTACTTTTTTGTCTCCAATGGTTCCATTGAAAAATCATAAACGCTAATGAAACGTGAGAAGAGGTAATTCATCCATATACTGCTTCAGACAGTACATTGCTGTCACTAAGTCATAATATTCCAAGATATTCCCAATGTCTTAGCTAAAAATAAAATATTATTGCCGTTATGCGTCCTAAAAATCGAATGGGCACGAACACAACGCACCAAAGACACTACTCTAGTTTTTCTTGCAAAATTTTCAAGCTAGGCCTTTGTAATAGCTAAGTCAGGCAGAGATGCAGCCCTGTTGAATGTGATTAGCAAAATGGATTATAGTCCTGAGTATCTAAAATATGTAGATATACGTGTATGTCATTCGAAGTGTGCCCATCGAGATATATTTTATTTTGCGAACAAAAAAGTATTGTAGATGCGCATTTTTTAATTATTTGCACCGAAGATACTATGTATGCATATTTCATTTTAATTTTCTAAATTATTAAATTTTTATTATTTCCATACCAAATTTTCAGCGAAACGGAACGAGCGTCGATTCTCTCCAAATCAACACTGGCGAAGATGATATTAGAAAGTTTAGTATAATTACGCAATTTAATGGACACCCTCTTCTAGATTTCTGGACAGATGAGGAATGTAACCGCATTGACGGCTCAGATGCATCAATGTTCCCACCTCATATTTTAGATAATAAGGAAGACTTACAAGTTTTTCTACAAGTGCTTTGCAGAAAAATTCCACTTCATTTTGAGAAAGAAGTGACAATTCTTAACAACATTGATGCTTTGCGATATCGCACCCCACTCAATGTTTTCTCTAATCCCAAAGAAAACCCTGGAAACGCCTGTTATTGTCACAACACCCAACTATGTTTGCCCAGTGGAATTATTAACGCTACGAAATGCTACAATGGAGCGCCAATATTTCCTTCTTTTCCTCATTTTTTTTCTGGTGATCCTGAAATTTATAAAGATTTTGATGGAATCAACCCATCACAGGAATTGCATCAAACTTACGCTGATATACATCCACGATTTGCATTTCCAATAAGTGGAGCTTCACGAATCCAAATAAATATTGCAGTGCACAAAGGTCAACTTCTAAAAAGTAAGTACAAATAAATAACATATCTTTTTTATTCCCTACAGTTTACCAACCTTTCGCTCAATCGCATGGTACAAATCTTTTTGATTCATGATAAGCAAGAGTTTGTTTATTGTCAGGAACTAAAAAAGCTACAGAACATTAAATTTGATTTCAGAAGAAAAGGGGACTAGAAATTGACCATAAGACTATAGAAAGGGTGGGGAGGTTAATCAGTTTCGACGACTAATATAAGGAGGATGATTATTATATTGAGTCTATCCAATCAGAGTAGGTTTGATACTTTCGGTTTCGGTTCCAAATTCTCGAGCCGTTTTCCAGAATAGGCCTTACTAATGTCATATACAAAGTTTTCAACATCTTTGAATGCTTAGACACAAAGGTATAGAAAATTTTTTTTTTTAATATTTACCAATAGCTTTTTATATAATATTATTCAAGCATTTAATTCACATGCTGCTAACCCTCTCGAATATGGTTGGACTATTGGTATAATTTTATAGGCGAGTAACCTCTTAGCTCTTACAGTAAACGGTCGCTTTTTCATTTTCGCTCTTGTTTAAGCCGTTCTGCTTTCGTTCGTTATTGCGTTTACAGTTGCATTTATTATTGACGTCACATGGTGATAAGAAAAAAAGTGTGGAGGTACTATTGTCTCTGAGCATTGTGGTGCAAATCTTTTGCTGATTGCAAGAAAAGGTTGAGGAGAAATTTTTAAATTTCTAGACACTTCTCGGTTGCTTTTAAAAATTCACTTCTTCCACTATCCATACTGTGGTTTTAAAATTTTTGGATCAGTATTAGGTGGCTAAGTGGTTTACCTTCCTTCTCTTCTAATTCTTCTTTAAGTTCCAGCAACCACTTCGATTCTAGTTTTTCTTAAGAATTTTCTGATGTTAAATATTCTGTTATTTCTTTAAATTAACTTTCGCCTAACACTCTACCGTACTCTGCTAATTTTAGGTATCTATTTATCTTTTCTTAAACATCACATAAAACACATGGCATATAAAGAGTCCCAAATAATAATTAAACATCTCCTTTCTTCCCGTTAACCTCCTGTGATGTAAATACAATAGCTACAACCCTAATTAATTGCGCTTAAGAAAGGGCGGGACACTTCTGACTGAACCGTTAGACTGTGGTTCTTATATCCAAAATTCTTGTTAAAAAATATACAAGCGAAAATATCAAACGCTCCTGAAGAGACTCTTGTATAGAGCAACACTGATGCCGCTGGCCAATTCAAACCAATTGGAAATCATATTTCAGTTTAGTTTTTAAGATTTGATAACTTCTCGTGAGAAGGCTTCATCTCTATTGGTGTTGAAACCACTTACGCGATTATAGCCGATTCAATTATATCCCGCCATTCATTCTTTCTTTTCGCCGTTTGGCCCCAATGCCGCTCTCCATCTAATCCTTGCAATGGAGTGGAGGCCCTCATCTTCATCTGCTCCCACTAGCGGGTACTGCATCGAATACTTTCAAAGTTGGAGTGCTTTCATCCATTCGGATGACATGGTCAAGCCAGCCTAGCCGCTGCTTATTGATTCCCTGGACTATGTTAATATCATCACATAGCTCGTACAGCACATCGTTCCATCGTCTGCGGTATTCGTCGTTTCTTTCATCGAGAGAGGACTTCAATTTTCAATTGCCTGCTCAGTCCAAAGTAGCACCTGTTGGCAAGAGTGAGTTTGCGTTGTATTTCCAGCCTTATGCCCTCATTCACTACCAGACCCACTCACTTCGCTTCTTTATCAAGTCTGGAGAAAGCAGAACTCATGGTTGTTCTTAAGACGGGCGACTGCTATTCGGACTTCTTAATAATCGAGTAACAGAACAACTTTTCTATCGTCATCAATTAGAATTTCGGGTTCATCATCTCTGGGTGATTCATTTTGACTGCCATTCAGCAGGCCGGGGAAGTGCTCCCTCCATAAATTCAGTATACTCTGGGCATCCGCCTCTAGATCACCTCCCTGAGTCCTACAAGAGTTTGCTCCGGTCTTGAAACCTTCCGTATCTTTTCGTGGAGTTTTCGAGCATTACCCTAGTTGGCCAGCTTCTCAAGCTCTTCATAGTCACGTATCTCTACCTCTTACTTTTTTTCCCCGCAAATGCGTCTTGCTTCCCTCTTCAGCTTTCCGTATCTATCCCTCCACGCACGTGTTGTGATCGATCACACACCGCGACAAGGCAGTCCTCGTCGTACCAGCTACTTTTGTGGCCTTCACGAAGTCAAATAATTTCGTGACCAGCCATACGTAGGGAGTTTGAAATTTCATACCACAGTTCCCTTCTAACGCGTTTCTGATGAGTGCTCTCAGCAGTTGTGCAAGTCGAGTAGAAAACTGCTCTGCAGTATTCTGTGATCGCAGCTTTTAATGTCGAACCTTCCGTCCACCACAATATGATCGATCTGGTTGAAATTTATTCGATCTGGAGATTCTGCCAGAATCTGGTGCTACAGACTCATCTTAGAATGTTTCGTCGTGGGAGCTGAATTTTCCGACAGACGTACCAAAAATAACTTCTTTGCTCGTGGCGCGGGCGGCGCTATTAAGTTTGCTCGATCCGCTTGTAAAAGCGGCGACGGAGTCTCTCTTCCACCACGAATCCGATACCAAATTTGCACTCCCTTATATGGCCGCTTTTTCTGTCCTTTTCCCGTGCATCGCAGTTCTTCGATGCCAGCCTTTAACTTTATGAGGACATTAACCAGCTGGGCGGCGGCACCTTCACAATTAAGCCAATTAAAGGATCGGACACTCCAAATGCATACTTAAAAATCGTAATTAGTGGCAAATTGTTAGCGGACATTACTGCTAAGGCAATGGTATAATTCCGATATTGAACTCCTTCATATTTACCAAGAGTGACATTATCGGCTTGAAATTAAACAAAGAGAAACTAATTTGGGAGTTGACCGGATTGACTATAACCAACAGTATTGCCAATCTAAGATAAATCGGTCACTCCATTCATACAGATCTTTCCATGTGCATTTAGATGAATAACTTCCAGCTGAAAGCCTCTGCATATTTCTGGGTTGTATATATACTATTACATTCATTTATATATGTATGTATGAGTTCACTCACTCGCCCTTTTAGTTTATAGCCTATAAAAACTATCATTATTTTTTGGACATGTTATTGGTACTTTCAATAGATCCCTGATTATGAGACTAACGTGGTTTGCCGTGGACTACGAACAGTTCAGGCCACATAATATTAAACTGGTTGGAAAAATTTCGTCCATTATCAGATTGAAACACATAGTGCATAATCTCATATAATATCTAAAGAAAAAAAATGTCAAAAAGAAAAGCTACTTCCTATGCAGTTTTTGGCTATGGGGCCGTAGAATTGAAAATGTTAGTGTGCGTGAACCTCTATAAATACTATAATAATGATTTAATGACCGACCTCTATTTAGGCTGACTCTTTTTCTTGTGCCATGTGTTTCCCGAACCTATAATAATAGTCAACACAGTCTTTTGTGACATTTGCTTACTTTTTATATCGTTTGAGACGGCGGTACTTAAGATACATTTTCTTGTAGCTGGTGTTTCTTTGAGAAACCGAAAAATACCAGTTGGATCTCACCACAATACTCAGATGAGAATGAGGCGAAAAACAACCAAATTGTATTAGAAGATTGATACTAACAATTAATTAAAAGAACCGCATGTAGGAGAATATACTAACCTACTTACTTACTTCACTAGCGTAGACCTTGCTTACGCGATTATAGCCGAGTTGACAATATTACGAAATTCGTTTCTTCTTTTCGCTGTTCTCTACCTGCTCCTTCCAAGGGAGCGGAGGTCTCATCAGATATTATCATAGTCCACGCTTCCGCACCATATAGTAGGACGGGAACGATGAGCGACTAGTAAGGTTTGTTTTAAGGCCGACATTATTGTCCCTTGATAGACGAAATTATCTACGACCTCGAAGTTATGACTGTCAACAGTGACGTGGGAGCCGAGTCGTGAAAGTGCTGATTATTTGTTTGATAACAGGAGATATTTCGTCTTGTTGATCTCCAGACCCATATCCTTCGATAATGTTAATGTCATCGGCGTACACCAGCAGCTGTACACTCTTCTCTATTAAGCTCTGCAACTCATATAATTTTCTTCAGAAATAAATTAAAGAAGCTGCGCTGCTGTATAAAACTCGGTATCGAACGGCTCGGAAGGTCCATCCCGATACTGACTTTTAAGTGCAGCTTAAAGTCAGTTTGCATAGCCGTATAAGTTTTGCAGGAATACCAAATTCAGACATAGCGGATTACACTGGTAAGGTCCAATTAGTTTGTTGACGGTGGGCTTGAGTCCTTCACACAAAACGGTCACTGGGACCTTATATACGATATTAAGAAGGCTTATCCCTCGGTAATTGGCGCAAACTGGCGCATGTACCTTTTCAGTTCTTCATCGCCGTAATTGAATAGCACGGCCGGTAATCCATCCGTTTTTTTTGAACTTTTTCATAGTCGGGTAACGAAACGTCTTTTTTAACTTCTTCGTCGTCCGAGCATTACCCTTGTCGACCAGCTTCTCAAGCTTTTATACTAACTCACCTCGATAATTTTTTGTCCGCACATGCGTCTTGCTTACCTCTTCAATCCTCGAAATATATCTCATCCCATATGTGTTGTAAATGTTGCGAGGTAGGAAGTCTGCGACACTGTTGTGTCACCTGCTGTTAACGGCATCTCGGTCTAAGCTCTCTGTCGTTCGCAGTTCTTGCCACTGTCTCACACTCACAGCTATAAACGAAAAAATTTAAATAGCATGCCTAAAAAATTTTTAGAGAAGACGAATGAAAGGAAAAAGGAACAGTCCTAGTCATTTGAAGTTGTCCGCAAGCGCGAATAACCGTGGCCCTGAAATTTGAAGTAGCATTCTGACGTTAGTTAAAAATTAAATTTGTAAATAAAAGCTTGATATAATAATAATTCCTAATTCCAGATACAAATAGCTTCGG